ATTTAATATTTCTTTATAAATCATCTCATCAAATTTAATCTTTAATACTTTTTGTTTTTCAGTGATGTCCTCTTCAACGTCTTTTTCCTTTAAAATATTAGATTTCCTCTTCATTTTACTTTTCTTTGACGTACACTTGTTTTTGGTGTAGTCTTTTTTCTTTAAAATCTTAGAATTCCTCTTCGTTTTACTTTTCTTTAATATCTTCTGTTTCATGATTTCTTCGTCTTTTTTAATATTTAAAATTTTATTAATGGCATTGTTTTTAACTTAAATTTGTTTATTATATTGTTTCTTTATAGTTGACATGATGAAGGCAGATGAATTAGAAATATTATTGCTTGGATCATTGGTTGACGTGGAAGAAGCATTTGATGAGGTTGACAAAGAGGCATTATGATTATTTAGGTCATTATGTATATATTCGAACTTTTGATTTTTATTTTCATAGTACAAGTAGTAGCAAAAAGAAATAATTGAATACAAATAATAGATAAACAAAATATGGGTGAGAGAGCATAAGATTGCAAAGAAATCCATTTTGCGAATTTAATTTCTAAGCATGTTTTGTCGAAACTTAAATACTTTCATAGTGAATTTGAATCTGCACAGACTCTTCTTGTTGCATAATATAAAAACTTGTTTAATTAAAAAAGTGAGAAAGTCTTTACATTTTTTCAAAGCCTGATCTTTTGCAAACGTGCATTATCGCGCAGCATTTTGAGGCTTAGCACGCATATTAGAACGCGTCTGTTCTATTATCTTACCCAATCCTAATTAAGCAACTAATTGAGTTTAACAAATTTAATTCTAATTATGCAATAAAGTTCAGAACCGAATTTATTATTTATATAATAAATTCGGCACTAATTTCTTCAAGAATAAAATTAATCTAAATGGACAAATTGTAACTGTAACACTTAATATATTTGTTGGTAATAGTATAAAAACTGGTTTTTATAATAAAAGATATTACTATATATACAGTATATCAAATTTTTCGTTAACTAGATCGCTATAAAAAGGCTGTCTTGAAATTTGAAATCTGATTCTAAAAAAAATGCCACAAAAAAGAAAACTCCCAAATGTAAAGATACCCAAACTACCTACTCATGATTCAAAACACACAAAATTGTTTGTTGTGGGCAGCAATGCTTGTGGCGAACTCGGCTTAGGGGACAGAGTTAAAAAAGTGAAATTTCCTAGGCATGTTAAAAGTCTGGACGATTTTCATATTGTAAAAATTAGCTGTGGAAGTCTACATGTAGCAGCTCTAACTCGAGATAGAAAGGTAAAAAATTAACATGTATTTGACAACCAAAATTTCAATTTATTAAATTATTAATATTACTTTTAGGTTGTTACTTGGGGCTGCAATGATGAAGGTAGGATATATTCATGAGTTATTAAATTTTTTTTTTTACTATATAAACTGATTTTTAATATATTTAAAGGTGCGTTGGGCAGAGTTACTGAAAGTGAAGAAAATCCTGATAATACTTTCTCATTTCAAAAAAAAAGGTTAATACAATTTACTGCATTTATGAGTCATGTAGCGTGAGTTAATTGGAAGAGTAAAAATTTGGCGGTCGAATATAATATACAAATGCGAAGTAAAATTTAAAAGAGAAAAAAACAAGAGATCTTGAAAAAACCATGAATTCGCAAGGAAAATTGCCTTTTGTTATTAAATAAAAGTTTTCGGTGCAAAAATTTAGATAATTCTTTCTACTTTGTGTTAATGCCAAACATTAATTTTAGATGAAAGTTAAGATATCATTATTGTTTAATTAGTCACGGGACTGCCAAATTTTTGCGCCATAACTATTTCACTCATTAATTGGTGTTGAAAGCATGTGAAACGGGCTGGCCTTTGCAAATAATATATGAGTAAAAACATGTAGATAACCATAGCATGTAGGAAACCATTTTGAAGACCCATTAATGTCAAGACCTCATCCTCTCATCTAGCAAAAGCAAAATTTTAATAATTCTGAGACCCGTTCAATGAGAATTTTATAATTTTGCGTCAGATGAATTTTACATATTATGCACGCGCTTGATTCTATTATATTCTAATTAAGCAATTGACTGATTTTACAACTTTGACTCTAATTATACAGTAAATTAAATTCAGAACCGAATTTATTTTTTAAAAAAATAATAAATTCGGTTTACAATCTCTTCGTGAAACATTATGCGATTTAAAAGGTTTAAAAGTAACTTATATAGCATTTATAATCACATGACACTTCATAGGAAGACATTCATATGATTGGTTAATTTTGTAGATCTACCTGTAATTACTCGTGATAATTAGCCAATCAAAATAGATAATTTTTAAAAAGATTTATCATTTTAATACTACTAGAAAACGAAAAGAACTTCATGTAAAGAAGCTTAAAAACTAATAAATGAATGCAAAAAAAATTTGTCACATTTTAGAAATAGATAGATAACATTACATTTACTACTCTAGTGGTATAACTCTATAAATGTAAAATATACAGTGTGATACTAGTACAAGCCTATTATAATCTACCGGTATAGCTTATCAAACGGTATACTCAAAGTTCAAAGTTTAAAGCTTACATGTAACATCTCAATTTTATTTTTTTATTTTTTGGCATTTAAAACTTACATACTGTATAGTTAATATAACTACCATACAGCGCGAACTATAGTACCCCAGGTACGATACATTTCAGGCTAAAATCCAAATTAGTATCCGGGTATTATACTGTATAAGAGATGTATTTTATATAGAAATAATATATCTACATAGTTAATACCCAAGTATTTCACACTTTAAAGTACTTGGGTATCTTGCATTCAACAGCGAAAAATTTTTATAGAGGGTACTTTGATGTGGGGGTACTATAGTCCGCACTGTACGGTAGTACTAGCAGTATTTAGCAAAAATATTCACTCCTAAGTGAAGTTCTTGGAGGGTGGATTATTTTGGATTAATTTTAACAGTGAATATCTATGTTTGTTTAAAGCTAGAATTTTTTTTACGGCGATTTTTTTGTTAGTGAAATGTTGCGTTCACAAAAAGTACTTTAAAGTATATAAATAAGTTACTCAGGCAATTGATTTACATTAGCCAATCAGATGAAAGTTGGCCTATGATATAACACAGGACTTATAATCACATGACACATAATTAAATTTAAAATATTTTGATTATCAATTCTCACCCCCAGTTGCATCTCACATTTTGATATATTCACTTCCTGTTTCAGATTCTAAAATCTTGTTTTAAATACGGTATTTGCTGTATAAAGAAATATATGTGTAAAACTTTTTCTCTATATGTTAAATACTAACATTAAATACCTTACTATGAACAGACTAAAGAAAAGGGTAAAACTTAGTCATCTTGCTAGAAAAACTAAAATGAATGATGTTAGGGTTGAGGATGGTTCAGAAGATATATATAACAAGATCTTTGGAATTTATGATCCAAGAAGAGTTTTTGCAGTTGAATTTTTTGCATAGCTCCTTGCTCAAGGAATAGAATCAGACTTTAACGACCAAAGCACAAATAATTTCTTTCTTAGGGTTGACAAACTACAAAAAGATGCGTGCTGGATACCATATCAAAAGGAGTTTGACGAAACTCGTAAGGTTATTTTTACTTTTTACTTAAATAATTTTTGTAATATCAGTGATGAGTAAATATCAAACCAATCAAATTAACATTGGCGAAGTGATTTACAAGCAGGAGCAAGGAACTTTTTTCTTGTGCTAAGTTGCTTCTACTTAATCTTATTTTGGTCGATGGCAAAAGTTCTGCCAAATTCACCTGCAGAATTTGTTAAAATTAACGTTTACATGTGGGTGGTTTTGACTCAAGCTTTGTGATTTGATATGTCTCTCTTTTAGGATATGTGTTTCTGAGGATATTTTTATTTCTTCAATTTAATTGTATTTTATACAAATAATTAATTATTTTCTTTATATTGAATTCAAGACGGATAGAAAAAAGGGCAACAGAAGTGCATGCATAGCTTATATAAATATGATAAAAAATGGTGATAAAAAGCTTGTGTCTTGTACTTTGGAATATATTGAAAACCTAGAAAATAAGCTGATACCGATGACAAGCTTTGATAAATCTCTCCGGAAAAGATTTATTACTAATATAAGGGCTATCAGTGTTAGTGCTTTTTATTATTGACTATAATGGTATCAAATTTTGGTTTAATATTAAGTCATTATAGGATCAAAAAGATGCCTCAGAATGGACATTCACGGATAAAAATAATATAGAAGTTGATGTTGTCAAAACAATTTGTAGCAGTATTACTGAGGAAATGATAATGAATCTAGAATATAATAATCCATTATTATCATATGTGATTGATTTTTCAAATCTGCCCAAAGAAATTAAAAATACATTTGATGAGCAAGCACTAATAGCAATAACAGCTCCACTGATAAAATTCTATCGAGACATGGATCCTACTTCAGAAAAATACCTTGCTTACTTGTATGAAAACCAACAAATGTGCGAAAAATTATTTCCGCAAGTTAGCAATGCAAGCTCTTTATTTATAGAGCAGTATTTCCTTATTAGGGCATTATATTTTATTTTAAACTTAATAAATTTTAAAGAGAAGATGCTTAATTTTGGATTTGTGATGAAAATTTTTATTAAAAATTCAAAATTAAGCGTATTCTCTTTAAAATTTATTAAGTGTAAAATAAAATATGCCGATCTAATATAATTTTATGTGTAGAACAAAGTTACTTAGAGCATTAAGTTAGAATACATTAATAAATTTCTAAGAATTATAGCATTCTTTATAATTTTATTAGTAAAATTATAAAG